TTTTAAAGCGTTTTTTAATATGTATCAAATATGTAATTAACTATATTGCATTAATGAGAATCATCATAGAGAATAGTAAGAATTTTTTACTATTCTTAAAAAAATCTTAATGGCCCTATAAAAAGGTTTCAATATGCAATATTTTTAGTGTTTTATATATAATTATGTATTAAATATATAATACTGTATTACAGTATGTAATGAGAATTTTATACTTTATATAAGTGATAAAAACTAAATCTAGCAAATTGATGCTAGAAGATATTTTGAATTTTATATATAATTTTTGAAACCTATTTTTAGTGGTTTTCAATTAGAATATAATTTTTAAAATGTATTGCAGTAATGAGTAGGGATGGGCAACGATTAATCGCATCCAAAATAAAAGTTTGTGTTTACATGATGTGTGTATAATTATTTTGTATATATAAATACACACACATGCATTTATATATTTAAGAAATATTTGCATGTATATACTTTATATATATTTATACATAATTAATATTATGTATAAATATATATATTTGATATATTAAGAACACATTTTTCTTAAATGTATACATGCATGTGTTAGTATTTTTATATACAAAATAATTATACACACACATCATGTAAACACAAACTTTTATTTTGGATGCGATTAATCGTTGCCCATCCCTATGACAACTAATAATAATGAGAATTTTATATTTAATAGTTAATTATAGAAAAATTAATTGAACAATTGGGTCAGTTATATATGAGATACGTTATATATAACAATAAAACATTTCAACTTGCATAATGAAACCTAATTTTCGTAGGATTTTATCATTCAAATTAATATATTACAGTATCAGCATTAAAAATGATAATAAATAATTACATATCACTTTCCCAATTCAAAAAAAAGTCTTCATATGGATTTATATATATACACACACACTGTTTTCTATAGTTTTAGGGTGAAATGCGACTCGTTTTGCGCGTCTGTTCAGATAAAACCCTATGAATGTTAAACCGCCAATTTGTTCAGTGTTTATTTTTTACGTTTTTTTTATGATCTCAGAAACGCTCATGAAAGCTACACCGATCACCCCTTCATCTCCTCCTCCTGCGTTCAGTGTGTGCGTCCCGTCGACGGAGCCGAGCGAGTCGGGCTAAGGGCTATGGAGCCGCGCGCTCGCGGTGGAGATTCGCGTTCAGCATCTCTGGAGGTGAAATGTATTATGATTGTTGACAATTCGAGAATTGAAGACTTTTTCTGGCAGCCAGGATTCTAAATGTATTTTACTACTGAGATGGACCCAGACCCTGTGGGTGGGGTTTAATGGTTAATGTGGCAGTATTCAGAAGTGCAATGGCAGATTCATCTGGAATCATGTGCAATGACAGATGCCCATCTGTCCTGTGCGTCGCCTTTGTGTGTTTGTGTCTTCCTTTTCTCCATTTCCCACCTCCTTTTGCAATGCCATGCAGGTGAAACTCGACAGAACATCACGCAAACGTTCAGTAATTCAACGTAAAAGGTGACACTAATATATTATATAGACTCATTGCATGCAAAGTGAGATATTTCAAGCCAAGTTTGATGATTATGGCTTACAGCTTATGAAAACCTTTTCACAATATTCTAATTCTAAGCTGCAATTATAACAATTATAAAGGCTTGAAATATCTCACTTTGCATGTATTGAGTCTATATAATATATTAGTTTCGCATTTTAAGTTGACTGACTAAACTTTTTGTAGAGTTGTAAAGCACTGTGGGAGATGAAAAACACTTGTTTGGTTGTGTATTCGGTTGAACTGTGTTAGTTTAGCCAAAAACGAAAGTTGTTCCAAATGCATTTGATGTTATTTTCCCGTGCAACACAAAACCAGACGTTTCTTTTTCATGCAACAACAGCTGACACTAATTTCAGTCGATCAGAAGCACATTTGTCATGTAAACGGATGCTTGACTGAATATGCATGAATGTTCTTTAACAATGGCATGGTTTGCATTGCATTGCAACGAGTGAACGTTGTTTTTTTGGGTGAATTATTCCTTTAGAAGTACTAAGGATCATCATCACTTCCCTTCATTTATCGCCCTCTTTACTGTCATCCTTCATCTGATCTGATCAGGCGAAGGGTTACGGTGGTGAAAACGTGCATTTATGGCGAGAAGTCGTATGTATGTATGTATGTATGTACATCTTTCCTTTGTATAGACTCCCTGTTGTATCATAACCTGAAGGACTGTAGCGTTTGGCACTTGTATGTAATCGTATGCCTTTGTTATACATTTGTATATTGAGAAGTGTGTTTTGAGTCGAGCTGATTAATATCTTGCACTGTTAATACCATGTACGTTTCTGTACAGTTTTACCGTTTTAACCGTAGCGTCTGTGTGCATTTGGAAGGTAAAGCATGTCCATTTTCTTATTGGTTCTTATTGATTCATTTTCTCACTTTTACGTTTCCTTCTCGTCTGTGTATTTGCGTTCATCTGTGCTTGTACTATGCTTTTTTGTTTTTTATAATGTGGTATTTCCCAATCTGTACATGAAGTGTAAAGTTTTATGGATGTTTGCAGAAATGTTCAGAGAGCGTTTGTGAACGAGAGAGAGAGAGAAAGCTTAACGGAAAGTTCTATCATATTTATTAAGCTCATCAGAAGATGGACAGTGTGTAATTTATTGTACAAATGTAAGCAGAAAAGCCTTTGAAATAAATGCCATAGTTTGTGACTCTAATGTCCTCTTCACTGTATGTCAGAGATGATTGATGATGCTACTACAGTGTTATGGATTTGATGTGGTGGAAGCTTGTTTCCGCCACAGAATAAAAAAGGTAAATGTGACTCTCACAATTCTGAGGGAAAAAAGTATAGTACAGTAATTGCGAGTTATGAACTCGGATTTGCGAGCAATAGTCAGAATTGCGAGATTATAGCTCAGTCACACTTTTCTTTTTATTCTGGGGAGGGAATGCAGTGACGTCACTCCGTGTTTTATTTTGGCTTCCAATGATTATGAAATTATCATCATTCTATTCCAAATCAGTCAAATCATGTGACATGACAAACAGTCCCCTGCCTGATGTGCGCAAAAAAAAAAAAAAAAAAAAAAAAAATATGCAAATGAGTGTTTCGAGGCCGCATAGAACCGAGCGTAGGCACTAAAGCCGCTTTTAGTGTCTGTGTGTTTTTAAAAACACGCCCGTTACGGCACAGCAACAGTGGCGTAGAGCGTGTAGTTCGTGAGAGAGCGTTTTGATGCGCTCGGACCCGAGTTCGAGTCCGCCTTTTGCCGAACATATGAGATGTAAAATGAATAAACTAACACGAAGGTCTCTAGCGTTATATTTTGCAAATTAACTAAAATTGAGCCTTCATAAAACAGCACAAGACTTTAAGAATAGGTGATTTAGAGAAACGTGTGCACTTTGCTTACGCGATCAGCATGGTTTTCTGGTGTTTTCTCCTAAATAAAAGCTCAAGGGTTTATTTCTTTCAAGTGTAGAAATAAGGACAAAAGTATTTTGTCGGGGGAGCAGTCAGTAAAACATAAGATTATCTTTTAACGGAGCAGTTTTTCCTGTGAGTGAGACTGGAAAACCCGTAGTGGATGGAAGCGGAGTGATAACAGAACGCTTAGAGTGCAGAGAGGAATGTGCTTTGACTCCAGTCCTGGTTTTGCGTCCGCGCCGTTAGGAGTTCAACATCTCTCACGGTCACTCTAGATTAGAGGATATTTTAACTAATTTGCGGTAAAACTCGTCGATCACGAGTGGCTCAACTGGTGGATTTATAGATAAACTTATCTTTCAGGTATTTTGCCGACTGGCGTGACACTTTAGCGTGAGAAATCGGGGGTGTGGCGTGACCGTCTCACGCTCAATGCGTGATAGACGAGCCGTCTGAAGACAGAGGAGTCATCATGAAGAGCTTTAAAAACAACAACAATTCTAAAATGGATCGGGAGCCAATTAAGCAAAGCTAAAATTAAGGTGACATGATCATATTTCATATTTCTTTGCAGCCTTGCAGCATCTGGAGGCGAGCAAGCAGTGATTGAGGAAGACCCAAATACAATGAATTACTATAGTCCAAGCGTGAGGTCATAAAAGCATGAATAACCTTCTCTAAGTCTTGGAATGACAAAAATGATCGTTTTTGTTTAATCAAACAACAAAAGAAAACGAGAGAATCACTTGCTGCTCCTCACTGAATAACTTTTGATAAGAATCTGTGTATATTTAATTCAGGTGTTTACATTTCATTACTTTATTCAAATTCTGTTTTATTAATTGGTTAAATTGCTATTTTATTTCTATTTTTTGTCATATTTGTCCTATTGTTAAAAATGTATTTTTTATGGTATTACTGACCATTTCAACTTGCCTATTTGTGGAGATGTATCTTGTGAAGAATAACAGAACCTGACCAATTATTCATTTATGGGTATATGTATTTACACACATAGGTCTATATACTGTATATATACGTTCTTCCCTAGTTTTAGAGCTTGTTCAGAATATCATAAATCAAGCCAGCATGAGTCAGGTGAGAGTCTTATGAAGACATTATTACACTAATAAGAAGCATTAAACATTATAGGGATGCTATTATTGGCGCAGTAGTAAAATTTAAAAAGTTACTGACGAAATGCTTCTATTTAATTCAAAAGAGTATATATATATATATATATATATATGTGTGTGTGAAGAAAGTCACTTGTATACGTTTACTAATATTATTACTATCAGAGACTATTTATTCAAATATTATACATGGACTTTAGTTCAAAAACAAATAATAAACATTATACATTAGAAATATCTGTCTGTACTTTTTTTACTTGCATTCATGAATGTGATATTAGGTGAAAAGTAAAGTAAATTAAACCGTTTTTTTCCCTCCATTCTTTTCAGAAGAAGCCAGAAAGCGCATAATATATGACGCTGTTTTTATTCTGTCAGGCGTCTGCAGGGAACACCTTCACAGTGCTGTCGTCACTCGGAGGGGTCCTTCCACCGCTTTGAGTCCGTGAGCAGTGAGTGAGCAGCACGGGTGAGCACGAGGACGTGCGGCAGCAGCAGATCTCCGGTAACGCGCCGCGATGATCGGTGGCAAACCGAGCGCGATCGCCGCGGGCGTCTGTGGCGCGCTCCTCATCGGATACTGTATCTATTTCGACAGAAAACGACGCAGCGATCCGAACTTCAAAACCAAACTGCGTGAACGTGAGTCACGAGATCGACCAGACTAGTTAACATGCTAGAAGGCTGTTTAACGTAAGACCGGTTCGTTTTACTTTTCATATTTAAATTAAAGTACCGTGTCTTTATAATGCATAATCACGTTCGGTCAGTTTCAGATTATAGTCTTATTTTGACCCAGGATGTGATCCGTGCTATTGATTCATTGAGTCGGTTTCTTTGAACGACTCGTATGAAAGCTTCACTTGTGTAGATGAAGAAGAATCGTATTGGCTGAACTGAATCACAATCACCTTAGTCTGGTGGACATGTGTTTTGTGTGTTTGATTCAAGGATTTTATACGTTATATGTACGTCTTAATTTTATATAAAAGTCTGTTGTTTGATGTGCTGTTTTCTTCTGTTTTAGGGAGGAAGACGCAAAGAGCTGCTCAAAATAAATCTGGCCTTGCTCAAGTATGTCAAACATCTGATTACACTTGCATGTTTATGAAGGAATCCTTTTGTTCCTTAAAGCAGTTTTCCATTATGTGATTGTCCTTGAGGAACCCTATTCTACATTTAAAGACGACGACTACAACTTTTTGTGTATAAAGAATATAAAAAATACACATTTTTGTTATGTTATATGGTTTTTATTTCAATGAGAATGAAACTATTATGTATGCATTTTATTTATAACTTTAGTTTTTACTTTTAGTTAGGTCTTTTTTTTTTTTTTTTTTATGAAAGAGAATCCATGGACCTGGATTTTTTTTTTTTTTTTTTACTAATTTTTATAATCACATAAATCTTTTAGTTGGGTCTTTATTTTATTATTTTTATTTTATTCAAATTGTTTATTTTAATCAATTGAATTATTTGGTTTAGATATTTATTTTAATACTTTTTCTATTCATGTTCATATTTTTTTATCATTTATTTGTATATTAATGTATTACATTTTTAATTAGGTCTTATTCTATCATTTATTTGTTTATTTTTTTCCTCTACGTTGACCCCCTAATATTTACATTTTTATTAATTAATTCAAATCATTTTTAAATTAATTTGAATCACTACAAACTATTCAGTTAGATCATTGTATTTTAAATATCTTGTTTTTATTTCGGTGTTGTATTAATTATTTGACCGTCGCTCTTCGTATCCTCCAGCTGCCGGATCTGAAAGATGCCGGAGCCGTGCAGAAGTTCTTCCTGGATGAGATCCAGCTGGGCGAGGAGCTTCTGGCTCAGGGTGAGGCGTCCATCTCACCATCACCTGGGTTCACACACACACTGAAGTGCTAAACGCCCACATGTGTTCCTCAGGAGACTACGAGAAGGGTGTGGATCACCTGACCAATGCGATCGCAGTGTGTGGCCAACCACAGCAGCTCCTGCAGGTGCTTCAGCAAACGCTCCCAGCGCCGGTCTTCCAGATGCTGCTCACCAAACTGCCCTCCATCAGCCAGGTGAGCGCCAACCTCTCACACACCTGTGTGGGGCTGCCAATCCCAAATCTGTGGAAGCTTGTTTCCGCCACTGAATAAAAAAATAAAATAAATAATTGTGACTTTTTATCTCACAATTCGGACCTTTTTTCTCACAATTGCGAGTTTATATCTCGCAATTCTGACTTTATTTCTCAGAATTACGAGATATAGTCAGAATTGCGTGATATAAAGTCAGAATTACGAGATATAGTCAGAATTGCGTGATATAAAGTCAGAATTCTGAGAAAAAAAGACAGAAGTGTGACTTTTTATCTCACAATTCGGACCTTTTTTCTCACAATTGCGAGTTTATATCTCGCAATTCTGACTTTATTTCTCAGAATTACGAGATATAGTCAGAATTGCGTGATATAAAGTCAGAATTGCGAGATATAAAGTCAGAATTACGAGATATAAAGTTAGAATTGCGAGATATAAAGTCAGAATTGCGAGATATAAAGTCAGAATTGCGAGATATAAAGTCAGAATTACGAGATATAGTCAGAATTGCGTGATATAAAGTCGCAATTCTGAGAAAAAAAGACAGAAGTGTGACTTTTTATCTCACAATTCTGACTTTTTTCTCACAATTGCGAGTTTACATCTCGCAATTCTGACTTTATATCACATAATTGTGAGTTTGTATGTCAAAATTCTGACATCTTTTCTCAGAATTGTGAGATATAAACTCGCAATTGCGACTTATCAGGCCAATTCTAAGAGAACTCAGAATAGTTTAAATCTCACAATTCTGACTTTATATCATGCATTTCTGACTTTATAACACGCAATTGCGACTTTATATCTAGCAATTCTGACTTTATATCTTGCAATTCTGACTTTATAACTCACAATTCTGACTTTATATCTCGCAATTCTGAGAAGTAAACTCACAATTGTGAGATAAAAAGTCGCAATTACCTTTAATATTTTTCATTCTATGGCGGAAACAAGCTTCCATAGAAATCTCCCAAATCTGGAATCCAATATCCTTTTTTTTTCTTTTTTTTTTTACCCTATTGCAATTGATAAGCAGACTTGAAATGGTTAATATTGAAGCGATACCCAGCCCTACACCTGTGCATTCTTTAAAACCCCCCACGAGCCGCGTGTCGCTCCTGGGACAAGAAAGAATGCGAGAGAAACCCAAGAACTAACCAAAGTTAAATGTCTTTGCTGTGACTTTTAGCTATTTCACCTCTTGGACATTGAAATCCATGTCATTGACATCATGTGTTTCTAGAGCTGACCTCGTGTTCCTCTGTTCACAGCGGATAGTGAGCTCTCAGAGTCTGGAAGAAGATGATGTCGAGTGACCGATGGACCTTCTGATCTTTTATTTATCATGTTCATTCCTGTTTGGTTGCACATCTATCCTGAACACTTTCTGTTCCTGGTGGTGTGTGCATTGACATTGTTCTTATGAAATGGATGTTTTTCTATTCTAAACATGATCTAACGGAATCACGTATTTAAATGCAATTGAAAGCTTCAAATTAAGAACACTATTGCAATGATAAGCAAAGGTCATCAGTTCATAAGCACTCGGTTCCTTTTAATGTCATTTCTCACGTTTAGTGGTTGATCAGATATGAAAGATGGATCTATTTGCAATATTAATCAGATGTTTTTGTTTATAAATCTTGTTTTTGTATGCACTGAACTTTAAATAATAGATTTTTCTTTCTATTCATTAAATAATTTAATCAAGATTGTCTTTTCAATGAGTTATTTCTGCATTTATTGTTTTTTCTGATGCACATGTTACTGCAATGCTGCTGATTATTTCCAGATTGCAGTTCTCTTCCTCTAGGAGGCAGTGCAGACACACACATTCTCATCAACTACACGTCAGTTGAGAGGATTTTTAATGTTAAAAGCATCTATCCTGGTACACTATAACCGTTTTGTTTAAAATTAACATTTAAATGAGTGTTAATGCTGTCAGGATGGTTATCACGGGAAACTACATGCGTCATTAGCCTGTGCATGTCTCCTCATATCCACGAATTACTTCGGCTGCTGTGCTGTGGCATTGACAGGTTAGTTGAGTGTGTGTGTGAATGGCAGAGGTTAGTTGAGTGTGTGTGATGTGTGGCAGAGGTTAGTTGAGTGCATAATCAGCATTCTCTCACTGCAAACTATTATCAGAGAATACTATTATTGAAGAGAATCGGCACTGGCTGGTTACTTCCGGGTTCTGGACTGGCTGCAGTAACGCGTCTCAGACCATGCGGGGGCGCTCGCGGTCGAGTGCAGAATGAATGGGAGTCAATGGGGTTTCACCCCCAGAAATCCACTTTTCTCAGGATGTAATTTTTTGTCAAGTAATTTCAAAGTTGCATTCAAAAGGGAGGGCTAAGAAAATACACTCAGCTGAAAATAACATTTTTAAGTTCACTTATCCGTTCAAAAATGTGATGACGTCACACAATAGCAGAATGCTAGCGTGTTCTGGCCAACAACAGCCTAACCTGTAAGAAATCAAAAGGACATAAGTACTCGTTCATTCGACTTTTGGCCTATAATCTATATTGAACTTGCGGAATCAACAATAAAATCTATTTTGATTCAACGACAAGCAGGTGAAAGAGACACATTTAGCCGTTTAGCCCCATAGACTCCCATTCATTCTGCTCTCGCCCGCGATCACCTCCAGTGGAATTCTAACGGAACTGCAACCAAGATGACACACAATGGGGATGATCTCCGTTAGACGGGCTCTGCTATTATTTTAAACTGGATGAAACGTCTTGTGTGGTTTAGTGTAAAAGCACAGATGGTTGGACATGACAATTCCCAGCTGAAATACTGAACATAAATCTGACACACAGTCTGTGATGAGCCGGTGGAAGTTATGATGGGCTGCAGACTCAGTTTGTGTTTTTCTCTGCCAGTGAGCTGATCTATGTGTTTTGGGTTTGAACACGTCATTATAACCTGAGATCTGGCACTCGTGGATCACTGAACTGTTCGCTGGAAGAAACAGCAGAAGGGAAATAAATCCAGCTTCTGCCCTTTCCGTCCAACTCCGCTCAGATTTTCCAGGAATAGCGTGGTCGTCGGGTTTATAAACAGAGACTGCCAGTGGCTTCAGAGGACTCATTATTCAGAGAGCATTTAACACACTCACTCAATGTCAAACGTAAAACCATTGTTAATGTCACCACACTGACACGTAATTTTACTCTATAAGCCTCAAATGTTTCGCAGATAAACACGTCAAGGTTGTTGGAAGGTTTGAACATGATAAATGTTAATTTCTCATGTAAAAGTGCAGTTACATTCATTGCCATGACCTGAAACACATGATTGGGAAAATAAAAATAAAAATGATGGTCCAGTATTATATATACCTGTCTATCAATGGTGAAATGAGTCTGCAGCAGTCAGGTGGTACAGGTCAGACCTCAAGTTGTTTATGCTCATTATTATTGTAATAATATGTGCTTTGAGACATGAGGTAGTTTAACGCAGTCTCTCCTGCTCTGCGCGTTCATGTATTTTTAAAGAGTTGTGGCTTTAGAGACTTTTGGAGATCTATGCTTTCAATGCTAACTCGCTAATGCTAACCTATCTGAAAATTGCCTATCCTACATTAAGCGCTCTGAGCTGGACTACAGCAATACAGGGAACCAAGTAAGGAGACAAGTGCTTGTGGGAATGACTGAAATCTCCAAACATGGAGGAAGACGGCGAGGCCGAGTCGAGGGAATGGATATTCAGACGGATAATTCTTTCTTAAACCTATTATTTCTGTGGTTGTTCGCTTGCATAATGGCATACAAAGAATGAGGTTTGTCTGTGTAATAGAACGACTAATTGGCTCTGTCCTAAATGCTGCCCTGGAGTGATGTAACGCAAGTGATAGCCTATTTGTAACTGGACAGTATAGGCTTTTACCAAACACAGAGTGTGTTTTTTTAATTAAAACCAAAAAAATAGTCTATGAAAAACTTTTTATACTGTTTTTTTGTATCACATTTTAGTCATCATAAATTAGGTATCATTAGAATTTAGAAAGCGTCAAAACTATTTTTGAAATTGTACGTGCTGACATGTTTACATCGCAAAATGAAAAAGTTTAATTGTTCTGTGCGATTCTTAACTTATTTTAGCTTGAGTGACGCGTTTTTAAAACCTAGCGCAAAAGACAAACTCGTGCGTCTAGCTCGCGCTATAACTGGCTAAAAACAACGGAAAAGCCGCGGTGGAACGCGTTACCGGAAAGGCGCGAGCCGCAATTTGTATTAAGGCGGAAGTAGTTGCACAAATAGTAGCTAATCTGCACATGGTCGGATTTGATCAGCAGATGTAAAATTATCAAGCAACAAAGTCGTGTTTACCTGGATGACACAATAAAGGCGCCTATAGAGGATATAATTACTGGATTTGCCGATGTTTACCAGGTTAGTGGCATCAGATTCAGATCTTTGAAAGTGTTTTAAATCCTGTAACGTTAGTAACAAACGCAATTTGAAATACACATTCGTATACTTTTAATTTGTTTCGAGTAGGCTAATGGATGTAAAATATTGCATAATTTAAAGTTTTTTTGCTATGTTTTTGCTGGTATTATTCTAACCTACAAAAGCAAAACACTAAACTCCAGGCCTACTATACTAGACTTGACTAAACGGTTTTGCATATTTCGGCGCAATTTTGTAAAAATCCCATAAAGGTAGCCTAAATTAACTTCCTTTTTAGGTTGTGATGATGTATAATAGTTTCTTTATTCTTTCTTTGTGTTGTTTTGTTCCCTTTCTGCTTCTGATTGTGTTATTTGCTTTGTAGCCGTGATAATTTTATCATTTATAAAACGTTATTTTTTTTAAAGAGACAATATAATGTAGCCTATATATCTATTGCAAATTATGCATATTGTGCATAATAAAATATTTTAATAGTTTGAGTATAGGGAGTCGATTATGTCATTTGCAGAGCTTCATGGTAGTGGGCGGAGCTTTGCTTGTCACAATCTCTGATTAGTGGCTATTTCTTTTCAGAATTATGGATAATGTTTTTTCCCAACAGGAATTCTGAATCTGTTGTTGAACATGATTATTTAAAAAAAAATAATAATAAGTTGAACTACTGCGGCTGCTGGCTTAGCAAAGTCCACCGATTAACAATCTCGTAGCTCAGTAATCAAAATGTGTTTGTCTTTGAAATGTTGATGGTGTCTTTGGGTACTAAAAGTTTACTGTAACAATATGTGATGTCATAGTGAATACTCATTACAGAATAGCGTGACTCACACTGAACCATACAGGTTATCTTCCCTATTTCAGATCACTTTTCATGTGCATGCTTATTTCTTAGCCAGAATAAAGCGGACCAGACTTGATATTATTCTTGAATACCCGAGCCTGTGATCTCAGTTGAACACAGTCCAGCTCGAGCTTTAATGACCACAGCGGAGGAAAGGGTTTGGTCGTTTGGAAGCTTCCCTGCTGGAAGACAAACACGGGCCTAATTATTTTTATCCAAGTCTGCAGCTGGTTTCTTTCTTTCTTTCTTTTTTTACTGTGTTTGGAAGGTGTAGTCTGGAGCTCGGAGCTGCCAAGAGACAGGAACTGGAAAATACTTCTCTAAGAGAGAAAATACAATATGAAAACGTAACCGGAGCCAAGAACCGTCGAATAAAAATATAATGACAGACGGTGTATTTTCCATGAACTCATGCACTCATAGCTAAGCTGCTCCCCTCCCTTGCTTTTATAAGACGGGGAAAGTGTGTTAAGAGGGAAGCGACTGATTTGATTTTGGACTTAAAGGGATAGTACATCCTAAACACAATTCTGTCTTGGTTATTAGTAAAGGGTTGCATACATTTTTTTTTTTTTTGATGTGAACTCTTTACAAATTTGCTAAATATCTTGTTTTTTGTTTGTTCAAAGTTCAAGTAGATTTCTTATAAAAAAATACTTTATTTATATCGTAGAGGCCAAATGCAAAGATAGATTCACATAGTCATCAGTATCATAACAAATGCATAAATAAATCAAGTATTTTTAGATGTAGTTTATAGATGTTTTGATCTAACCTATATGGTGTGTTCTGTTGCTTTTTGTGCTGGTGTGTAAATTATAACATTGCTTATTTTTGGTTGAATAATGCATTGAAGTTTGTAAGTCAGTGTAATGAGAGAGCGTGTGAGGCTGATCTGTGTCGATGTGTGAATGATACAGTAGCCAATGGAGAAAGCTTGATTCTGGCATTGAAACGTGACGTGAGATCATCAGATTTAACTTAATGAAATGCAGCTGAAGTGTGTGACGCCTGTTTCCCTGTCAATCAACAACTGAGCAACACAGAATATGAACAACACTGTTCCATCTCTAACAACAAATACCAAAAACATTGTACTATCTTGGCGTTTTGGTGGTAATACCATGGTATTCTTTGAATATTTTTGTTTTATATGCTGTGTGTATATATATATATATATATATATATTATATATATATATATATTTAATTTTGACAAAAAAACCCAGCTGGAGGAATGTGAGTGTGTAACAGCTTCAACAGGGGGCACTGTTGCTCCAGCCTCCCAGTTAACCACCCAGTTTCTCCAGTCCTGACGTGTTCACTAGTTCACCAACAAAACATGTCGGCTGACGAGATTACAGGTGATGTCTGCCAAATGACCTTCGAGTTGTCGTTACTTTACAAGTGAAGCAACTCTGATTTATAAAAACCCTTTGTGT